GCTAGTAGAAGTGGTATGGATAAAACATGGCAAACATAATATGAGAGTTATGTGTTTTAAATGAGCACAAGTATGCCTTCTATACATTGAATTTTAAGTTCAATGATACAGGAATAGCTATTTACATTATTTGTTTTGTAAATAAACTATATATAGTCTATACTTACCATATATGCACTAAATATTCTATTTATCCAATATGTTACTCTAAAAAGGGTATATATGATATGTTGTTATATAGCACACAAATTGAAATATCAGAAAACATAGCGCCCAATAGTTACATGTTTATGCAACATGACAAAATGTTGCATTCTCTTATTGTCACACAGTCTGCTGTATCACCTTGTTAATTCACATGGACATAATGAGATTGACATTTTCCTTTTGACTCCCATTCATGCTTTCCTATAAAAGAGGGTGACTCTTGTTTCCAAATCCAAAATAGAAATTGGCGTCTGGTCAGGAGTCAGAAATCATGAAGCAAGAATGTTTCTCGGTGGTTGGGTGGATATAAGTCCTGGTCAACCTGAAGTAATCCTGTGAAATAAAATCTTACTTCATTTTATTCTGGCAAAACCATGGGGGAAAAATCAGGCTGTCCCTTGAGCTCTCATATGTCTTGTGCCTGCTGACAGTTTTTAGTTTGGGGTTTTTTAGTTGAAAGCTTACTTACATACTGTAACATTTATCCAGTTGAAAGTATAAAAATCAATGTTTTCTTTTCAGTTCACCAGTTTGTAATCCATCACCCCTAATTCCAGAACATTGTTGCCCCCAAAGAAGCCTCATTTCCATTAGCAGCATTTTCCTTTTCCTTAGCTTCTAAAACGCACAAGTTAGTTTTTCCCAAGAGCCTTTATTGTTCACATTTCTTTAGTGTCTAGTTCTATTCATTTAGCCTGTTTCAAGTTTCATCCATGTTCCAGCATGAAACAGTACTTCAGACCTGTGTATTCCTGAGCAATAGTCCATTGTGTAGATATGCCAAACTATGTATGTATTCACTCTTTGATGGGTATTTGGGTTAGTTCCACTGTTTTTTGCTACTACAAAAATGTTGCTAGGACTACTTATGTGCAGGTTTTTGTGTCGACATATGTTTTATGACCCAGATAATGTTCAAAAATACACAAAAAAGACTCTTCTGTGAAGGTTTGTCTGTAGCGATGATTCCTTGAAAGGCTGCCTTGGTTGCCCTGATGCATTGTGGGTAGAACTTGTTGGATTTGTGAGATGTCATGGGTCAGGCAGCCCCCCAAGGAGCACTATGTCCCTGTCACTCTATCTCCAGGGTACCCGTCTAGTCTTTGAGTGACTCATAATGAACATGATTGCTGGGTGCTCAGAAAAGAGTTGGCTTTGTTTGAGAAGTCTGCCTCCTGCCACTTAGCATCTTGGACAAGTGATACTCTTCCTGAACTTTGCATATTTTATCTGCATGTTGGCAATAATAATAGCCACCTCACAGAGTTTATTTGATGGTGAGAGATAATGTTCATGATATACGTTATAGTCTCAAAGCAGGGGCTCAACTAACATACGTTTATGATAGTGGTAATTGTTCTGTGCAGTATGACAGTTGAATAAATTGAGGGCACAGATTAGGGGCAGTGTGGCACAAAGCTCATTGGAAGACTTCACTACCTTGAAGAAGCTTGGTTATTTCTTTCATAAGCACTGTGTTGGTTTTTTTAGGGATGCCATAATAAAACACCACACAGAGATGTGTGAGATGAGCTAGACAGCAGAAATGTATTGTATTGGTGAAATTGTTAAGGCCACTCCACATAGTTAAAAGGGAGGTTTATTTAGTGGTGTAACTTACAAATGAAGGGATAGGTAGGTTGCAGGGTCTGGGGAAGGTGTGTCGCAGTCTGGCAGTGTTCTCTGGAGAACTCTGCTCCGTCTACCTCCACTGTCCAGGGTCCAGGAACAGAGAAAGCCGGCGCATCCAGATCTCGGGTCTTCAGGGTCCTCTCTTGGCCCTGCCTTGTAGGTGTGACAGTTACCGATGCCTCAATGGGGGTTAGAACTTCCAGATCAAAGCTGGAATGGCTACCCACTACAGTACTGTCTAGCGATTTTGGAGGCTGGGTGTCCAAAATCAAAGTGTCAGTGTATTCAGGTTCACTTGAGTTCTTTCTCCTTGGCTTGCAGGTGAATGGTCCTTGCTACCTCAAAGGCCTTATTTTAATTCCCCCCTCTTAAAAGCCACTATCTCCAAATATCACCGTAGTCTGATGTGAGGTTAGAGTTCAACATGTGAATTTGGGGGCAGGATTCAGTGTAGGAAATAGCTAGGTAGTGTCTGCATTATCCTATACTAGGAACAGAGGAGAAAGCCTAAGCCTTGCTCAGTGAAGCCCAGTTTCTCAGAAGAGTCAGCCCACTGAGCAGATAATTATATATTGTCTTTTCTCCACTTACCCTGTTCCTGGTCTCACAATTGAACTTGCAATCTTTACAAATGTATTATCAAATATACATTAAATATGTTGACTACCTCAGAATCAGGTCATTCAGCTGAGATGTTCCTCGTCTTTGTCAGCTAAGAAGGAAAAAGAAAAACTTATCAAATTCTATTTGGAAATAGGAAATGGGTAAGCCAGGAATCCCAAGAAGTAGAGCTAAAGTTGAGGCAAAATTAGTGAATAATTGAGATGTGTATTGTCTCATTTGTGTGTACGTGTGTGTGTGTGTGTGTGTGTGTGTGTGTGTGTGCATGTGCCTGCCACAATTGTCACAGCACACATATAGAAGTCAGAGGACAGTCCCTGGAAGTCAATCTTTCTTCAACCATGTAGATACTGAGGATTGAACTTGATCATCAGGCATGGTGGCAAGCACCTTTATCCTCTGAGCCATTTCAATAACCCTATGATTGTTTTTAGGTTTCTCTTTACTCCATTTTCCTAACACATCTTGTCAACCTCCAAATGAGCCAGCCAGGGCCTGTCCCATACTCACTGAATATCCATTTGCCCATGTTCAAGGCTTGTCCTCTCCTTTCCTTACTCTTTCCCTCCCTTTCCTGTTTTTGCTCTGTTTCCCAAAGTGAAAAAATAAAGGCATGAAGTTAAGAATTATTGAGTTCCAATGGAGTTGGGCAATGATTTGACATTGTACATGTGTCCTTACTTGATTCCCACAACAGCTTGGCTTTGCCTTATTTGTAGATGAGGGACCTGAGCTGTGAGGTCCTAGGGTGACTCCAAGCTTAGGAAGGCAGTGACCATGGTTGTTGATGTTAGTCTTTGTCTTGTATCTGGCTCCCTAGAAGCAGTGCATGAGAGGAAAGTTGGGTGTCTGTGACTTATGGCAGGTATAGTTGCAGGAGCAGGAAGTGAGGAATAGGAAGGAAGAAGAAGTTGAGGAAGGATACACTTTGTGCCAAGTGAGCTTCAGCGAGATCCCCTAGTAAACTCCCAAGTACACATTATCCTCACAGAATTTCCTCTGCCTTGAGACATGGGACTGTCATTTTTATCCTGAGTCAGTCATTTCCAGGCTACATGGATGTGTCCTTATGGCTATGACAATACCGATGGAAGTGCTTTTGACTTCAAAAGATGGAGGAAAATGACTTTAGAATCTCCAGGTTAAGCTATAGCTGATAATACTGTACTAAGCAGCACTTATAGTTTAACAAGGTATCTTTTATGAACATTATTCATTTACTCATCATCATTGTAATAACCTTATGAAGTAAGTGACAAGTTTCATTATAGCCGTTTGATGGGGAAAGTTAAGGGCTATGATTGTAGAACTTGAATGTGATAAATTGGACCTAGAATTTATTTCTTAGTTAAGACTGAATGGTCCTTCAAGTTCAGTATGCTGTCTGGTGGGATGGATACCACAAAAGACATGACTACTCATCTAGTGTGACTAGTTGTCCACATTTGTCTGGGACTTTTCTGAATTTAGAGCTGTAAACCCCACTTTCAAGGTAACCTAGGACTGACTAGGCACAGTGCCTTAGGTCTACGATGCTTCTAAGATTCATGGAAGTGTTCTCATTTTAACTTCTCTTAAGAAAGAAGAGGAGAAAACACAACTGTAATAATGATGAACACAAGCACTGCAGCCAGTCTTAATTGTCATGCTAACATAGTCATTCAGGATCTGTTTTGATTTATTTATTTCTTATGCGTGTCTGTGGATGCTTATGCACATGTGTGAAAACCAGAAGATAACTTACAGGGGTCGGTTCTCTCCTTTCACCCATTTGATTGCAGATTATGGGGATTGAATTCAGGTCATCAGGCTTGGTGGCAATTGCTTTTACCTGCTGACCATCAAATATAATTTTTTAATGTACATGTAAATATAAGAAGGGACTATGAATAGCTTCTAGGGAACGGCATCAGTCACAGAAGAACTGAGATTGGGGTCATATTAAACCCTTCGAATCTTAATCATGGTGGTTGGTCATGGCTAAAGACCTTGGAGATTTCCCCTGGGATGGTTGTCTAAAATCTCCAGTGTTTGTCTAGATCTGGAATTTCTGTGCATCTTGCTGCTTCCCCTCCCATGACACACCAGTTGCCTGGGTTTACTTTGATTTTCCTAGAAGGAATCAGTAAGTCCATCTTAAAGCCCTCTTCTCTTGTGCCATAAGACTAGCTCCGTGTCTCTTTCTCTCCATTTACCATGACCAAACACTGTCTGACTCACTGTGCTGGGGACAGGCACAGTGCAGGAACTCAGTGCACATTTATTGATTGAATAAATGAATTAATTGAAAACTGAATTTAATTAATTGCTTATTTTATAGCCCTGGGGATGTGAAACACTCTGGGCCTCATTTTTCCATGTATAAAATAAATTCCTTGGAACAGATATACCCTCGAATTCTCAGAAGGCACTTTATGTAACACTTTTATACTTGTAGGCTTTCCCTCTATTGTTGAAAACTATATCTTAGCAATTAAATTGCTCCTTGAAGGTTCTTAATAGCCTCACTATATTTTCTCTCATCCCCTTTTTAAATTTAGATCCTCACTAGAATCCAGCATGTCGAATTTTTCCTCGAGAAAAAAGTCTCCTACTGGAAATGGTAATACAGACAATGTTTACTAAAATATTATAAAAATAAGAAAAGCAACTCATAGATCATACATTTTTTTCTATAGATATCTGTTGTTTACAATGGCCTTACTAGCTTTGCTTAAATTAGGCTTCTTTTTTTTTTTTTTTAAAGTAAGAATGAGAGATTGGGAGGGGAATGTGATGTAGATGTAGTACTCATATGGGAAATTCTTTAAAATATGAAAATACATTTTTAAAAATGCTGTAGTTTCCACTTAAGTCATTGTAATTTAAAATTTTTAACAATCAATATAAATTTCTTTTGGAGGGCGATCTGTGCCCTGGTGCCTGTGAGATTCATGGGTTAGGTCATGTGTAATCAAATGCAGCACCAGAATTTACAGTGTGTTTCTAAGGCCCATTTCTATTGAGCAGAATGGCTGGCCACCAGATCCTGGCTAGGTTTGTCTCAGCTGATGATCCTACATCTCTGGGCCTCAGCTGGGGCCTCCTGAGCTGCCCTGGCGGTTTCAGTTGGCATCTGCGCAGGTTTGCTTGTTATCTTTGGTGATGGGGTGTGGGATTTGTTCTTTCTTGCTGGGGCATCCTGCTACTAGACTTGCCAGTGCAGATGAGGCCAACAAGATGCTCCTCTCAAGACCTTCTGGTTAACGCCCCACACTCAGCTTCACTGTCCTACAGCTGTTCATGTTTCTCTCCATAGATATGAAGAGCACCCAGGGGGCCGCCCTGAGACAGCAGGGTTTTCATGATGTGAACAGAAGAAGGGCTTTCTTACAGGATAACAGCTGGATAAAGAGGCGCCCTGAGGAGGAAAAGTAAGTGTGGAGAGGGGAGGGTGGATGGATGGATGAGAGGTATCTCTGTTTGAAAGATATGGCCTCTAAAAAGCAGGCCTTTCCCACTAAAACACTTGGCTACATAGTCTGATTTGTGTAGGATTTGGAAAGCATAAATCAGCTGTACCATATTCTTAAGAAAACCTGCACTTTTAAAAACAAGCATTTACATACAAAAGAATGTGAGCTGGTTACAGAGAGCATGCTTGTCACCTCAAATGGGTGTCTGTGCTTCCTTTTAAACCAAAAAGAAAGCAAGACATCCCAGTTTCCCAAAAGGCGGCAGTTTATCCCCTCTATGATGTATTGATCATACCAGGAACTTTTCAAATCTACAACTGTAGAATAATGACTAAAGCTTCTGCGTGCATGAGTAAAATCAGTAAACTCCCACCCATTTCGGGCCCATCTGACTATCTACCTCTGGTTGGCTGGAAGAACGTGACCTTATTTAAGGGCAAACACTGACCAAGTTTCCCTGGCTTTGAGCATCACTTCTGCGAGCTATATATTTAAAGATCTGAAACTATAACCATAGGCTTCTAGTAATATTGTCAACATAGATTTATGTAGCAAGTCTTTCTCTGTCCTGCCAGCCAGCTCCCAAATCTCTACATGGACACTTCTTATTAATTAAGAAAGCTCAGCTGATAGCTTAGGTTGGTTTCTAACTAGCTCTTATAACCTAAATTAACCCATTTCTGTTAATTTACGTGCTGCCATGTGGCTCATGGCTTGTTACCTCATCTCCTACATGTCATGTCATGTCTTCTCATGACTCTACCTTTCTTCTTCCCAGCACTCTCTCTGTCCCAAAAGTCCTGCCTAGTTATTGGCCAGTTGGCTTTTTATTAAACCAATCAGAGTGACCTAAATTCACAGTGTACAAAAAGATTATTACACAACAGGTTTATGATAGATATTCATGTAACCCAGATCCATCTTTATCACTAATTAGCTATGAATTATAAATTATGCATAGTTATGGATACATTTTCTGATTTCTTTATGTATTAAGCTTTGTGTTAGTATCTGGTTCATAAAGTATCACTAAGTCTTATAAACATATAAGGTAGGTATTATAATCTCAGTTTATAGGAGAGAAATCTATAGCTCTGAGCAGCTATCTAATTTGTCCCAATGGCACACAGCTATTTTGTGGTTGTATTGATATTTTAACATGATCCATTGTCTTTCCATTATACCAGTGTTTTTTAATCAGAGGCTATTTTACCTCGGGGGATATTTGACAATGTTGGGAGATATTTTTGGTCATAAAAGTGGGGTATACACCTAACACTTAGTGAGTAGAGATCCAAATAAACATCCTGTAGTGTGCAGGACAGACATCACAGCAGAAAGTTTCCAGCACCCCATGGTGGCAGCCCTAACTGAGAAACTTCATTTTGGGATACTTACTCTAACTTTTACACACTATCCAGACATGCTTATTTGAGGAATGCACTTATAACTGGCAATAAGTAGTGAAAGCATCTGTTGTCTTCTGCTGTTGTACCATGTGTATTGAAGGACTGACTGTGATGTGCAGAGATGCAGTCACTCTTAGACTGAGCACTGTTGGAGCACAATTACTCCCTCCCACAAATCTGCACTTAGCGCTTCTGTAAGAGTACTCTTTTTTCTGTAGTGGCCATATGATAGCAAATGTACATAGTAAAATTTGACTTCCAGTTATTTATACAGATGGGTGAAGGTAGAGATGCCTATGATAAGTCGCGGTTGGTAACAATGTTGACTCTATGCCAAGCGAGCCTCCCTAATCAGGCCCAGGGAAGCCAGCTTGGATGGCACAGTAGCTGCTGAGTGAAGGGGAAGTTGGCTCCTCCGGTGCTTTTCTGGCTCCCACTGGCCCAGCTCTGGGCTGTGTGTTATCATTTGTTTTCAGGTAGGAATGTGCCTGGTGCCTGCTGTGCTTTCTTAAGTTTTGCAGGATACCAGGGAAGAGGGAAGCTTTCTCCTGGTGGCCTTCTGAGGGCGTATGCTTTGCTCGATCATTGCAGTTTCTCTGCTCACCTTTCTTTTTAATTGTCTGCTGTCGTTTCTTTTATAGCTTTATTAAGCATTGTTCCAGAATGTTGAGTAATGTTAATGGAGCCCAACCAGAGAAAATGTGGTGTTTCAGGTTTGGGGGGTTGACAGGAAGAAGTTCAGGTCCTTGCCCTCTGCTGGGTGTCAAGGCCACTTCCTAATGCTGCCTGCACTTTCGTGCCTGCTCTACAAAGAAAGAATGACAAAGCTTTGGAAACTCATGTATAAAATTCTACCACAGGGTTAACTGTAAAGAGAATAGAGGACGGGAAGCAAAGATGTGGGTCCTAAACTGCCTTTGTCACTTGATAATCATGTGACTTTAGGAAAGCCACAGAATCCCTAAGGAATGACTTCATCTGTAGACTAGCTTAAACAGTGTCTCCCCTGCCTCATTTAATAGGGACTTTAAGGCACGTGCATCTCATGGTTCAAAAAACAGGCTCCATCTCCTGAGAATGATTAATCTCTCTCATTTGAGGCATTAGTACTTGTTTCCCTGTATTTTACCCAGGTAAATTGTCATATCCATGAAAATGTGCAGACATAATAGGCTTAATTAAACCTGAAGAATGTTTTTAGAAAACTTTTGTCTTTTCTTCTTGTAGGAAAGAACTAATATACATAAAGTCAATGGTCTTATGTTCTCATACTCTGGTTTAAAAAAACAAAACCAAAAACCAAAAACCAATCACAACAAACAGGGCACTGACTCATTGTTGAATCATGTGGAACTCTCATGGGACAAATGGCCTTTTGTACTGTCAAGCTTGTTTCACTCCACTCTGCTCCTGCAAGTCGTGACCGGTTAATTTAGATTTATGGTTATGCTCTTAGGCATGGAGTAAAACAAATTAACCTTGCCTGAAGTTGTAAACTCCCTCTCTGTCTCTCTTATTTAGTGCTTAGCAAACACTGTGGTAACTTTTGATGTAACTTAATTTGGGTCTTTCTCTGCAGAGATGAAAATTATGGCAGAGTGGTGCTCAACCGGCATAACTCCCATGATGCCTTGGACAGGTGAGTGTCTCCAATAATTACATCACTTACAACAAAAGGGGAGGTTTTAGAGAGAGAACTTGTTCAAACCAGATGAGTACTTGTAGCTGGCCTTGGGCTTTCTTCAACACATACACATGCAAAGGAGAATCTGGAATGTCATTAGGGCTTTCTTCCAGAAAACTGTCCTGTGTCAGCTCCCAGAACTGTGGCTCGAAGGAAGCTCTTAAATCATCTCATTCCACCCCACTGACAGGGAGAGAAAGGGCTCTCATAAGAACATGCCCAAAGAAGACTAAAATACAGAAGTAGCTCCAGAGCTCATGTGCTATGTGGGACAACACATTTCTTTCATGAAAACCATCGACTTATGGCAAAACGCTGACTTGTCTGTGTTATTAAGGAGATTGACCAGTGCAAATCAATAGGAAAATTCAGATAAAATGAGGAATCACAATGATATGAACAGTCTCAGATCCATTGAGCAGATAATATTCTCATTGGTACATGCTTGTACTCACAGGCTTAGCAACAGCCACGCCTGTTAGCAGAACCTAAATATTTACCACAGTCAAGTTTCACTTGGTGCAGTGGCTTGTATTTGTGTACCAGTAAGGAGTCTTTGGTAAGGGAGTGTGGATTAAAAATAAAATAACTACGCATACACCTGGAAATGTATCTACTTTTGAATCTTATATTCGTGAATTTTTCTTAACCATTTTAAATCTTTTCATAAATTTGACCTATTCTAAAGGTGCCTAACTTACCACTTTGTGTCCCTAATGTCAGCTTTTAGCTCAACAGATTAACTGTTGGTTTTAATTCTTTTTGAAGTTAGTACAAAAGTAATAATTTTCATTGTGACATTTTATACACAATACCACATACTTGTTCTAAATTGTCCCTTGCCCCACTTCCTGATTTACTGTCCTTGAAAGTACTTTTAAACAATTCTATTTTATAGAATAAAATATTGGTCCATCAGTATGATAACCATTTTTTTCCCCCAGTTTTTTCGAGACAAGGTTTCTCTGTGTAGCTTTGTCCCTTTCCTGGAACTCACTCTGTAGCCCAGGTTGGCTTCGAACCCATAGAGATCCACCTGCCTCTGCCTCCTGAGTGCTGGGATTAAAGGTGTGCACCACCACAGACCAGGGATAACCAATTTTTCAATGGAGTTTTTTTTTTTTCTGAAGAAATTTTAATTTGCTGTCCTATGGTCCAGGGATTCACCATCTGTGACTTCACCTTACTCTTCATTGTTTTGGAGATTGTCACCTAGTTTACAGTGGGTCCTCATTTCACCGAGCAAAGAGACACTGATTATTTGAATCCAACAACCAAGGAAAATTGTTCCATGCACTTAAATAGCATTTCTCTGGGACACTGGAGAACACACACTCCCATTTTAAACTGTGGCACTGAGGACTAAGCTCCATCTTCTCAGCTTCCCCATAGTGCACCTTAGTATAACAGGACCGTGGTGCCATCTGTGCTAATTTTACATTTCAAATAATATTGGTTTCCTGAACTCATGTGTTGGTGGTCAGCATTTTGACTAAAGCAGTACACCAAACTTTTATCATTAGTAACTGTAGCTGCAGAGTTTCTCTCCGAGTCCGCCAAGTCCCCGCAGTCCCGCAGCCCACTTATAAAATAATCACTCAGATGCTTATATTACTTATAAACTGTATGGCCATGGCAGGCTTCTTGCTATCTAGTTCTTCTATCTTAAATTAACCCATTTCTATTAATCTATACCTTGACATGTGGCTCGTGGCTTACCAGTACTTTACATCCTGCTCCTCATTGTGGTGGCTGGCAGCGTCTCTCTCTGCCTTAGCCTTCCACTTCCCAGACTTCTCCTCTCTCTTTGTCCCTCCTATACTTCCTGCCTTGCTACTGGCCAATCAGTGTTTTATCTATCAATCAATTATCCACAGTACTTCCCCTTTTTCTTTTTTTCAAAAAGGAAGGTTTTAACTTTAGCATATAAAATTACATATAACAAAACAATTATCAAGGAAGAATTACAGTTACAATAGCTAGTCTATTTATAATATCTAGTCTATTTGTATTTGGCAAAATTAAAGAAGATATCCTATCTATCTTATATTTGTGAGTCTAAGGTTTCATATCTAACTTATCTTTTATCATAACTGAGGAAATTATAACTATCTAGTCTTCAACTACATCAAAGACCTCAGAAGGATGTAATATTACCTGAAAAATGGGAGAAGGATGCAAGCAACTTTCAGGAGTCTTGTGAGAGTGGACAGAGACAGCTGGCAGCCTGGGAAGTCACCTAATGTTCCTTCGTAAAGTTGGGGCATCTGTCTTCAGCCCACAGGCATAGAGTCTCTCAGTCACTTTTCTCTGTGTCCTGTGGAATGTCTGGCAGTTTTCTCTGCAAAGCAGGAACCTGAAGGACCATTTTGCCAAGCAAAGTTCAGTGCTCACCTTCCTATGGGTCCTGCACGTCCAGTCAATCAAGCAATAGTAAATAATGCTACAATTCCCCACAGAGTTTGCTCTCCATAGGTCACAGGACTTCAGGAAGCATTGCTTTTGTGGTAAGACCCAGGAGGAAGAAAGCCAACCAAAATCTAAACTGATGGTGTTTGTGAATGGGCTGGTTTTTGTTGCTGTTGTTACAAAATTGTTTATGTTTTTGCTTTGTGCATTTGCTTGTTTGTTTTGAGATGTTGAGAGGAGAATCTGAACTTTTCACACAGTAGACAGCACTGCCATTTTGCTACAAAAAAGAGGGTCTTTTTTATGGCTTCATGACTTCGCTTAGAGGCTGTCTAATGTAGTAGAGTTTTCTTTCCTTCATTTTTGCCTTCACAGTACTGTTCCATCAGTCCATTTGTAAATGTTCATGTCTGTTTGTAAACATTCATGTCTGTTTATCTTCCTGCACCTCATCAGGAAATCCTCTGGTTCTTACTTTTAAAAAGCAGTTTCCTCAATGTATAACTTCCTTGAATTTTGCCTGAACTCGTATTTTTTATATAACATCAGGCACTTTTTGCCTTTGATACATGTCTGTAATTTGTCCCTCTAAGGTAAAGAAGATGCATTTTTAGTTAACAAGATGCGTTGTATATTACCTACTTCCAAATATTTGCAATTAAAAGAAATATACTACTCCAAGTTTAAAAATTAAACCAAGAAATGCAAACACAATAAATCACACCATAATTTCCCACAAAGCCCGCTCTTCATGGGTCGCAGGACTTTGAGAAGCATTAAGCAGGGTGTCTTCTATTTGATCGGTTCCATCTTCCTTGTCTTGTTTCTCAATGTTCCTCCTCTCTCTATTTTCATCTTTCTCCATTTTCCTGTTTTTCTTTCTTCTCATTCCTCTCCTGACCATCTCTATCATTGCTCTCCCTTCTACACATCTATCATTTCCTCTTTCACGCTCTTCTTTCCCTTTCTCTCCGGATTTTCTGTTCCTTCTAAGCGCTTTCTGTCACAAGTGTTTGGGTTTTGTGCCTGTCCATGGTGCTGAATGTTAAATAAAGCATTTTAGGAGTTAGCCCCCTGAGAGGGCTTACACATCCAATGAAACTGGGCAAAGCGTACCTGATGATAAGATGTTCCTATTCTGTAGAAACCTGCAACACCAGAAGAGCACACCCTACTTATCAGCCACTATTAGCATTAGTGTCAGATATCCTCAGCTTCAGTGTGAATATGTTACACTTCAGTGATTTATGAAAGCATGGAAAAATCATTGAAACCAGTGACGTATCATTTATTAGCAGTGGGAATTTAGTTTTCCCAAATTTATTTTATCTAAGTCAAAATTTGGAAGACTTCTGTATGCCAACTTGGTCTTTCCTTGCTAACATGTAACTTTCCTAGCTAAATAGGTCAACATTTTGTCGAATTTATGATAGGTTTTATGAGCTAATTTTGTCCCTTGGTAACTATGTTGCTACAGGAAAATAACTGAGAGAAATGAACCAAAAGCCACGATTAGCCGGTACAGATCTGATGACACGCTGGACAGGTGAGGTGCTGTGAACCAGTTCAGTGTTTTAAACCCACTGTGTGTGAACATCAGTGTTATGATGCATGGAGGGGATGGAGTGTTTGCTGAAGTGTTTTTTGCACTGGTGCTATTTTATCTCAAGGAGGAGAAGCCTCTGAAGACTGAATTGTCTCCTCAACTCACAGAATCTTAGTCAGATGTATTATTTTCCCAGAGGTCTAGGTTTTAGAGAATAGTAGGTTAATTTGAAAGATTGTGATTTGAGTATGAGTTTTGAGCACGGGTAAGACAGGCCCTGCCTGGAATCTGTCAGTTAAATTTAAACTGAGGAGTATCAGTCCCTATTCTTTGGTCATGGGCTCTTCAACTGTGATGGTGGAGAAACAGCAACTTCTGTAAAACTACTTGTAAATATATACATTGATGTCAGAAACGTGAATTGTGCTAAAGAAGTTTAAGTACTGTGCGGCGTGAAAAATAAAGATCCTGAAGCTAATTTTTGGAGAGTAATTTTAAGAGACTAGGTTAGGGAGCCCCCTAGTGTTCTGTTGTGGAAGTAAACTTTCCCCTTGGATCTTTTTTAAAACATTATTTCTTTGAAATAAATGTTGCCCTTTAACCTGTTTTGATGATATTCTCTCTCATTCCACATCCAGATCCACCGCATCCCACACTCACTGTTTTACTTTTTTATTGCTTTGATAAAGCTTCATGACCAAGGAAAATTATAAAAGAAAGCATTTAATTGTTTTCTGGTTTCAGAGGCTTAGAGTCCATGATGCCAAAGTGAAGGAACAATTGAGGGCTCACATTTTGGTTACAGCCATAAGGAAGAAGGGAGAGCACAATGGGAGTGGTTCTCATGTTTTGAAACCTCAAAGTCCACCTCTGGTGACACATCTCCTTTAACAAGGCCATACCTACAAATCCTTCCCAAACAGGTCCACCAACTAAGGACCAATTTTTCAAACATATGAGTCTATGGGGTCTGTTCTCATTCAAACCACCTCACTCACTCAACTTTATGTCCTGTTTTTTTTTTCCCATCAAGACTAATTTGTGCTGACATGAGGTGTTCCACCAGAGTGTGGTCAACTTATTGGGGGGACACAGTTTTAGAGAAAACTCTCTCTCTCTCTCTTCATGAAGCTAACAATTGCCAATAGCTCTATGGCTAGGTGTGGGACTTCCTGCCCAGCTCCCATCATTAGATGCTGGGATTTGGTCTGGTGTGGGTTTGTACAGGTTTTGTGCATGCTATCACAACTGCTGTGAGTGTATATGCACACCTGCCCTGCTGTGCCCAGAATGCATTGTTCCCTTGTAGGTATCCACTGTTTCTTTATCTTGCACTCTTTATGCCCCCTCTTCTGAAATGAGATCCCTGAGCTTTGGGAGGAGGGACTATGGTATATATACTACATTTGGAGCTGAATATTCTGCAGTTTCTTATTCTCTGCATGTTGGCCAGTTGTGGGTCTCTGTGCTAATCATCATCTACTACAGTTGTGAGTCATTGTATCAACCACTGCCTGATGAAAACAGAAGCTTCTCAGATGTAGTAATGCATGGTTATAAAGATAAGGAGTTAATTTAATAATATGTTCATTCAACCGAATAATAACGGTAGGTCTCTCCTAGGGCCTAACCTAAGTAGACTAATTTGTCAAGATGGAGTGCTTTTAGTCCATTCTTCCTTCTCCCCAAATCTAAATGGTTTAACACAATAGATCATTGCTTGACTCATGACAGTGACTAGGCAGTGACTAGGGAGTGAGTAGGCAGCTAAGTTCTTTTCATGTTTTAATGTTGCCATCTTCAACCCATGGGCATCAAAACTGTAATAGAAGAGGAAGAAAGAGCATAAATTGTAAGCAGGGAATTTTACAGAGGTCTGGATATGGTAACAACATTTCTGTCCACATTCTTTAATACCCAGTCAAGTGGTCCCAACTTAATGACCATTTAAGTTGGTAAATGTGGCTTCTGTGCACTCAGAAGAAGGCAAACACAAAGGATTATCTATGCTACAGAATTTTTTAAAAGACTACTAAAGTATTTCATTGATGCCTTTTACCAATGCAGGAAGTATTGTCATTGAACTATAAAAATATGAAAAATAACAAATGGGATAAGATCTCAATGAATCAGGAAGGTGAACAACAAATGTTACTATACACCCCAAATTCAAAGTGATTTCAAGATAGCTCATCAGCTCCCTTTTACTTTCAAATATTGTAAAATGTAACACAGAAAAGTTCTTTTTTCCAAAAAGTGATTGAATATAAAATTGTTGAAGCATTAAAAAGATCTGGAAGATGTTTGATAAGCTAAATGTTTATACAAACTTCCGTTTTGTGTATGAGGGTCAGACAGAAATGCTGATGCTAAGACAGTTAAGGCCCAAAGCGTGGAAAACCAACTAACAAATACATAGCAGCACTTACTAACTTTGGAAAAGGCTAAAATGTAATCCTTCCTAACCGTTAGTTATTTATTTTTACCTAACAACTCTCAATCATGCTTGATGCTTTCTGCACATTTTTACCTTCTGTACATTAAAAAATATATAATTATTTCTTTGAAAATTTCTTTCATATATGCATATATTTTGATCATATTCACTGCCACGTCTCCCTCTAACTCCTCCTAGATCCACCTCTTATCCCCAATTTCTTTTTAAAAGCTTTTATTTATTTTATTCTCATGGATGCTTTGCCTGCTTGTATATCTGTGTACCATGTGCATGTCTGGATGTTGGAGGAGGTCAGAAGAGGGTGTGAGTTGCCGTGTTGGGTCCTGGGAATTGAACCTAGATCCTCTGGAAGAACAGTCAGGGCTCTTTACTGCTGAACCATCTCTGTAGCCACCCCACCCCTGCCCCTGGTCTTTATTGTTTCTTTGTATACCCCGAGTCAGGTTTGTGCTGCCCATGTACTCATGGGTGTGACGTCATCTACTGGAGCACTGTCAACCTACCAGGAACTGCACTCTTTTTTTTTTGGAGACAGAGTTTCTCTGTGTTGTTTTGGTGTCTGTCCTGGATCTCGCTCTGTAAACCAGGCTGGCCTCGAACTCACAGAGATCCAACTGGCTCTGCCTCTTGAGTGCTGGGATTAGGGGCATGCGCCACCCCTGCCCGGGGGAACTGCACTCTTAAAGAAAACTTTGACTTTTTGGAAGCCATTAACTTTTAATACCTCTTCAGTTGGTGGGTGCTTGGATCCCCTATTCGTACGTTCTGGAATGTTGACTGGTTGATACGGTGCAAGCCTTGTGCAGACCATATTACCCTCTATATCTTTAGAACAATGTTTCTCAAGTAAAAACCTTTGATTTTGCTCATGGTAGAATAAAATGCTGCCTGGCTTACAAACCTGGAGGCTCCATTACTGTGGGTCCTTATTCTTACCTCATCTATTCCTCTGTTAAGGTGTTCTGGTGGTGAGATTATGAATTTTACGTTTGACATTATCAAACCTAGAATCTTAAGACATTGACTTTAATAATCATGACTTTTCTGAAGAAAAAGAATACCTTGGGATTTAGTACAGGAGGTTTTAAAGACCATGAAAGCATCTCACCAAATTTATTCAAATAGTAATGCTTTTTTTCCCTCTCAAGCAACCTCTAGTTTTTCCTAGTAACTTTTAATTCTTGGACAAGCACAGACAAAGGAAGGATTAACTAGGTTTTCATGGTTGCTGAAACTGTGCCACTGTTTCTTCCAGAACACTGTCCACGTTTAAGACACCAGAGGCAACCAAGACGTAAGTATTCTCCTAACTGATGTGTGTTTCCTTGTGTACATTTAAAAGCTATCAAGACTTGCAACCCTTGGGCCAAAGTGTCATTGGAATACACCTAGCCCTGTGGAGTTGGCACAGTTAGTCGCCGAGGAGAAGAACCAATATAGGCTCCAAAGGATCAAGTGCTTTTCCGCCTGGACTTGTACTGAAAAAGCTTACCGACCATCACTCTAAAAATATCGTTAAAGTTTAGATCAATGCCTTTAGTCTTATTTTTAAACATGGACTCAGGGCTAGAGGGATGGCTCAATGGTTAAGAGCCCTGGCTGGTCTTTCAGAGGAGCCAGTCTCCATTCCTAGCATCCATATGGCAGCTCACAACCCCCAGTAACTCCAGTTCTAGGCAATCTATCGCCCTCTTCTGGCCTCTTCTCGCTCCGCACATGCAAGTTGTGCGCAGAAATCATGCAGGCCAAACACCTATACAATGAAAACCCAACCAAGTAAAACAATGGACTGTGTTTCCCCCCATTTCTCAGGCAACCAACTCTTTCTCATTCGATACCTCACCTTCTTACCCAAAACCCCCCACATAAATGTCTCTTCCCTCCGTGCAAATCCAGTGAATCATGAAACTAGAACATTATGAAATGTATTTTCCCTGGCATATTCTCCTAGTATTTATAAGCAACACAAATTAGATGAGCTTTAACATAATTACCTTTAAAAACTGTATTTATTGATAAAATACTTTTCATGCTGGATCCAAATCTTAATGTATAAAACAGGCCCTAGGTCATTGACATTTTTTGAGGATCTGAATATATGCCAAAATGGAGAATAAATACCAAATAGAGATTACTAATGTGTGTTGTTCAATTTTTTTCTTTTTCTTTTTTTTTTTTTTTTTTGGTTTTTGGTTTTTCGAGACAGGGTTTCTCTGTGTAGTTTTGTGCCTTTCCTGGAACTCACTTTGTAGCCCAGGCTGGCCTCGAACTCACAGACATCCTCCTGCCTCTGCCTCCCGAGTGCTGGGATTAAAGGCGTGCGCCACCACCGCCTGGCTCAATTTTTTTTCTTAAGATCACATTTCTAATGCAAAAACCCAGCATAATTCTGTCGATCACAACAAAATAATGAAATTAAGAGAATGCAAATCTATAGTATGTCACAACTGATTAGCCTGAGCGTCACACAATCGACACCAGGTGTTAACGGCTTTCTCAGCCAGTTACTTCATCCTTTAACCAGCTATGTGAGAGCCTGATAGTGTACAGGACAGGTGAACTAAGGAAGAGTGCTTTTCTCTTACTGCTTTTCAGTCCTCAAGTGAAATGTTTTATTGTGGATGGGCAGTAGGTTGGGATATGAGTAGATTATAAGATGTTTCAGAGGCGGGAGGAAGGTGTTGATCTGTTCTGCTCATTAAACAGGCCAGCTGTGAGCTCTTCTAATGCAAACACTACCACCATGGCGACCACACCTGCCACCACCCCTGGGAAGAAAAAGAGGTAAGATGGGTACCCTGTGTCTGCCTCTGGCTGAGCTATACTCCAAGCTCCTCTAGATGATGTTGGTGGTGAGCTTAGATGTTAAGAGCTATGCTACTTCAAGTAACCTTCCATAGAGCTGCACTAAGGGTGTGGTTTAACTTGAAAAGTGAATAACCACACATTACCACGCACCCATAGCATCCTCCTTTGCTCTGTACAGCAGGCTAATTCTACTTGAAAGCAGAGTCAAGGCCCTTTCTGGGGACCTTGTTCTGTTTCCTTTGTTCTTTTAGACATATATGGTTTTATGTCACTCATAAAACTAAAAACAAAACCTACTACATGACCCAGTATATTCCTAAGTACTAACCCAAAGGACTCTAAGCCAAAACATCCCAGGTAAGTGGGGAAAGGGATGAATAGATGGAGGGTAGTGGGGTGCAGAGAGAAATATTCTCAATGGACAATGCATACCTGTGTGAAAATACTTTGAACTTAATTTTTTTAAGCCAAAGCAAACACAATCAAATACACCAGCATTTACTCCAGCACTACTCACAAGAACTGAACTGTGGAGACCAATCTAGGTATCCAGCAATGGAGGAATGGATGAAGAAAATGTAGTATATAGCACAATAGGATTTTTCAGCATAAAGTTATGCCGAGGTTGAAGTTATGTCAATTGGAGATAACTTGCATTAAGCAAATCAAGCCATTTTACTTTGGGAATGTTGGCCAGCACTCCGGGCCTCCTTAGCCTCGTCATCCCTTCCCTGGCCTATGTTACTGTTTCCATTTCTTTTATTTATTTATTTTTTTCATCTTAGACTTCTCAGTAGAGATCTTGGCTACAGCTACAATCTGAAATTATATCCTTGCACTATAAGGTCATCTTTCTGGCAGATGTTGAAGCCGAGGTTAGCCTTCTGTGGTGTTCCCTTCTGTTTTAATGTCCTTGTCAGAGTGTTCTATCTTACAGTTTAAGCATCTTGTTTTAACTAGAGAATAAAGTTGTTATTTCCACTGTGAACTGGACCAGGAAGGTAGAAAAAGAGGAAGGTTAACGTGAGGAACACACACAAACCTGCAGTCCAGATTTAACAGTTATTATTCTTTCCCTATTTTTTACTTTTTCAGGAAATGTCCACATTGTTTGGTGTAAAAGGAAATGACAAAAAAAAAAAAAAAGACAAAAAACAAAAACAAAAAACCAAAACGAAACAAAAAACCCAAAAAGCAGTTCGCTTGGTGGAGGTGGGGGTGGGGAGGGGAGGAACAGCCTGAAGCATAGGATCCTTTCTTCTTATTCCATTTACGAAATAGTGTTCATTTTATTTCCAAGGCTTCCTGTAAAATTACCTTGTTGCTTTTTGAGCTATCAACTGCCCTCCCACCCCCAAATGTGGGATGGGATCAGCCATTCAAATGCTATGGTATGACTGGTGTCATTTCTTAACAGACAGTCCTGGTTCCCACCACCCCCTCCTGGTCACAATGCCTCTCCAAGTACCGGAGCAAGCAGAAGGTAAGGGAAGGTGTCAGAGGTAATTGCTACGCCACTGATGGAAGAATACATTAGTCGTTGACAGCGTATAATTGTGGATGCTTCTGAATAAGCTGATGGCAATTTTGTGAACTCTGAAGAAGACAGTGCCCAGTGGGAGTGGGGGTCAGGCTTCTCAGCAGCACCCTTGATGACGAGCTGTGAGAACTGAGGTGCCTATATGAGTTGCAATGTTTTCTGCGACAAAGTGCTACAAATATAGTGGAACAAAGAGTGGACATTTATTGCCTCACCGTGAAAGATCACAGCGTGGGCAGGATTGGCTCCTCCTGGGGGCTGTGAGGGGATCCTGCTCTCCCCAGTAGCTGCCGACTTCCTGGCAATCGCTGACATTCCCCAGTCTGAACAGGCATGCTTTTGTGTGTGTCATTTCCATGCCAACCTTCATCTCCCTGTGCCATCTTTCCTGAGCATACAGCTGAGTCCAAATTTCCTTTTCTTTTAAGACCACTAGATCTATTAGATTAGAACTCCATCTTATTCCAGTATGACACCATACCAACAATACCTCAAAAGACCCTGCTCCAAAACAATGCCACATTCTCAGGAGGAACACGTCAAGACTTCCATGTGGGAATTTTGGGGGACACAGTTCAGCTTGTAACAGTGACAGAGGGAGAACCGAGCCAAATTTCAAGCAGGGCTCCATTGTGTGTCCATCTGCTTCCAGGCTGTCATGAGCCCAGTTGACCGGTGGGGATATGAGTGGAAAGTTCCCTGTGTCACAGGAAGTGACAAGTGAGAGTTTTCTATTTATTTATTGTTTTTCAGAAGACACATAATTAAAATTATAGACTATTTGAGGGATCCCTTACACTACAGTGTCCATGCAGGGCATATCAACAATTCAGCAAGTATTCAGTAGATGAATCATCGTGTCAAACATCATTGTGGATTATTGGGCTCTCTCAGTGAATAAAACATGCAGCCTGTGTTTGGGTTTTTAGAGAACGCTTGTCTTCTACAAGTGTTAAATTCTGGTGGTGGATGTCGCCATTAACACAGGAGGGAGGAGGGCTCACTGGACTAGATCAGCTCTGTATTCAGATATCCAACACTTTTCCATGTCAGAAGCCAAGAATATCTTCACCAAAATGTTTCCATATTTCAGTGGGATTTTGTCCTGCTTACAATTGTGAAACTGTATGTGTAATGTAATACTGGGATATTTTCTAAATATCTAAATATGTTCATCTGCCACACAGGCTTCCAGTGACTCTTTTATTTCTAAATGATAGAAATATGTGGAAATATAATTTATTACAACCCAACTTTATAATATAATATATAGCATATATAATAGTATATAAATGTATTTTAACATATAATATAATTCAACTTTAATATAATTTAAGTGATATCTGTAAAGATATAAATCAACTTTAGTTGGTCAAAGAAATTAAGTTACTTTCCACACCCAACTCTTCTTCTTTCTATATATTTATGTATAGATATGGCATGTCACTCAAGTTGTAGAACATATTGAATACTCATAATTTGGAATAACATCCACTTTATCTTAAAATGTTTTATTCTTAAGCATACAAATCTGAGGGTGACTTCCAGTTATATGAACTGCCAAGTATATAAAGCATATTTAAAGCATCCTAGATAATTGCTCTACAGATGATAGTATTCATGGAGCTACCCACATTTCCCTATGTTGATGAGAATATTCCTGTACCCCCAAGTATCAGGAGAATCATTTAATTTTTCTTTAATAGGCAACAAATGCATTTTTGTTAGAAGTGTTTATTAGATATTTCCAAAATAACTTTTTATTTTGATTCATTCTTCTTCCTTCTTGTATTAATATAAATTGTCATTACAATGGACAAATGATTCTAAAACTTTGTAAAAATGTGCAAGGGTTGGTCATTAATCAAAACCTCATACATTCAAAACATGTTGAGATTGTGGGTATAGGTTTGCTTGGAGCTGGCAGCCCTGGCTAAAAGCCCTAGCAATTCAACAACATGCTGAATGTGTTCAGTGTGGAAGATGAAATGAATAATAATGTTCCTTAGGAAAAAAAACCTAACTCAGATACACAGCACTAGAATTAAGAAAATGAGGAGGTCATTAGGTTTCATTGATCAATGTAGCTCTCTGCTCCCATTTTAGAATCATGGGTTATTTACACACTGTCTCAACTGAGGGCTTCTCCCTGAGCTTTCAGGGCAGGAGGGGAAAATGACAGTGTACAAGGACTTGGGTGTAAAGAACTTTTCCTTGGAGTAGGAGTGCAGTGTCTGCTTCTCATCTTTATATACCTATCCCAAGGTTGATTGGTAGACTTTGTAGTAAATACTGAAAAAAATAGAAGCAATTATTAATGACAAAAAGGAGTGAATGCTATACAAACAGATCTCTGACCCCAGAGGACCAAAGTAAATGAAAATGGGTCATCAACAGATAAAACTAGGGGACTATGATTTTTAACACCTTATGAGCATAACACTACACTTTTTTCTCTTTATCTCTGGCTAGTGCACTGGGATCCTTGCCTCTTTCTCCTCCTTCGCTTCTACTTTCAAAGAACTGCCCCCCTGACTGCCTCCCTCACTGTCTTCTGTTCATTGCACAGGTGTGCTTTCCCTTTGCATCTGTCACTGAAATGTTGTTTTATATCTGAGACCTCCAGACTGCACCACCATTCCAAGAGACAGCCTCTCTCCAGTCTTTTTTCCTAGACTTTTCTGCAACTTTTCACATCATGGATCATTCCCTTCCTGTCACGTGCTAGCCAAGAAATCAAAATCAGTTGTGTTTGGATTGAAAGCTTGTGTTTAATACAGCGTAAACTGGAACAAAGGTTTCAACCTGTTTTATTAATGAAGGCCAAGGGAAGGTGAATCTCTATGAGTTTAAGGCCAGCCTGGTCTACATAGAGAGTTCCAGGCTAGCCAGGGTCACACAGTGAAATCCTGTCTCAAACAAAACAAACTACCCCCCCAATCACATTTATAGCTAAACAAAAACTTACATGTCTCAAAAAAGCATAGCAAAACAAAACAACAACCAACCAAAGAACAACAAAAACAAACCAAAACCCCTCATATGTTCTGAGTTTTTCACAGCCTTGTAACTTAAACATTCCCATAGCTAAGTCTGAACTCCTTTCTTGAACTATATGCAAAATCCCCCAAACCAATGATGAACAAAATTATAAACAATAAAGCAAAAAAATGTTTTGTACAGAAGAAAATGTGAATGTCACAAAGACCAATTTTAATTTTTGAAACACCACTCTGAAATGCTTTAAGGAAATTTTAAGGCTCAACAATAGAATTGGGTAAAAGATTTAATTTTGTATGGCTTTACTCTTAATGAAAAGAAATCAAAGATTCTCACATTTGAAAATAAATTATGATAAATTAATTGTTTAAATAATGTAACTGTTACTCATGGCTTTGCATTAGTTTCAATAATTTCCAAACTAAAATTTCCAAGACTAAATAAAATAAAATGAAAATTTTTTAAGAAACTGATAATTTTCTGCTCCATATACATTAGTCTTGAAATGAAGGGTTCAGATAAACAAAACAGAGGGCAACACTGAGAAGTTTGAAGGCTTTTCCCTTCATCTGGGATGGATGTTAAAGAGACAGATTTATTTCATCACAGTAGGATGCAGCATGTAAAGTTCGTTTAAGCAAACCCCTCTCCCTCTTCCCACTGACTTCTGAGGCTGCTCTTGTGATCAGTGTACTACTTACTGGTTTGTAAATGTTTTGAAACACAAATAACCAGCACAGTGTTTTGAATTATCAAGATATGTCAGCAGGTTTATAGTCTCTGAAGTTTTATCTGATGCCATCAGCACAAATATTTTCCTTTCATTTTTATCAAGACTGAAAAACAATTTTAACTTTATTAGTTGTTCCTTATGACATTCATCTGTCTGGTCTCCTGCCCCCAGGACCAAGTCCTTGCTTTCCTGTTTTCTCTTTATTCAAATCTTTCATCTTAAAAATATCATCTTTGACATTTTCTGGGCAGAGCCTTCAAATCCAATCAGTTGGCATTCTCTCTCTTTTTTACCCTGCCAATGATTTCCATCTGTATTTTGCTGGTTTCTGTTATCTTCAGCTCCTAGGAACAGGGTTCCCTAAGGTCACGATGGCCTTGGTGACAACTCCATGCTAATCTAGCAGGTCCTGCAAGGACTTACCCTTTCATGCTACATAGCTAGACTGCTCCTTCATGACCGCACTAAGCCCCCCAACACCCTTTTCTAGATTGTCTTTTAAACCATTCTCCCTGGGTTACCTTTTCTTCTTCATGATCCTATGCCAAATCACTATGTGCTGATGTGTCTAAAGCTCAAAGCCGTCTTCTCCTCTCTTCTGATGGTGTGCTCTGACCTTCAGCAGCAGTGCCAATGACAGGGCTCCCAAAGCCACTTGCTCCTCCAGACTTCCCTTCTGATTTTCACTGGATAGTCACCTGCCTCCTTGACACTTTCACTTAAATGTCTCAAAATGATTGGAAACTCAGCATGTTCACGATATTTGTAATTTGCTGAAGCCTGATTTTATTTTTTACCTTAGTTAACATCATCAAATTTTCCAGCCATTTGGCACCTTAAAATACAGTCTAGTTTCCTTTTGTTGCTGTGATAAAATACTCTGAGAAAATTAACTCGGGGGAGAAGGAGATTTATCTCATCTTACAATTCCGGGTTACATTTCATCATTGTGGAGATGTCAATGCAGGAACTTTGAACAGCTTTTTATATCATGTCTACAGTAAAGAGCAGGGAGAAGTGAATGCAGACTTGTTTACTTGCTTGTTTGTTCTCATCCTGATTTCTCCACTTTTATACAGTTCAGGATCCCTTACCTAGGGAATGGCGCCTCCCACATTGGGCTGGGTCTTCCTTTATTGATTAACTTACTTAAGACAGTTTCCCATCAATACGTCCACATGTCAATTCAGTGCAGGAAATCCCACATTGA